TGAGACTCTTCTGACCATGAAACACAAATGAACATGACCATGAATGTTGCTCTTCTCATATCTTATCCCCCCCAAAAAAAGAATAATCCCCCCAAAACAAACATCCTTGCATACGAATCGTTGCATAATGACATAATCCCACCATATCCTATCTAGTAAAATATATATCGATATGGTAGGATTATGGATAAGAAGCTACTAGGGGCGACGCTACTAGGGGCTCCTGGCATCACTACTAGTAACAAGAAGCTACGTTCGGGGCTCGTGGCCTTACTACGAGCGGAGCGTTCGGACGCTACTACTAGGGGGTCCATGTCTTCCAATCGCCGATCCATGGCCCCGTTCGGGTCCATCCCCTCGGCCTGGGTCTCCGCTTTGGCCCCGTTGACAAAGGAAGTGCCCGGTGTGCAGGACGCACGCCTGGTGGCTGGCGATTGGAAGCGGCCCGGGATCGGATCGGTAGCGGTGGGGCAAACATACAACATGAACATGAGGTCCCAACTGAACACAGATGAACCGCAGGAAAGAGGGGTATATGATGTGTTTTTTTCTTTTAATGTAATTCGAGTTGGTCTTCTGTTTCAACATAGATCAAGTCACAGATCTGCACAGAGAAAAAAAAACAATCTGAAGTCACATGCACGTGATGCATTTTGTGGATCCTGTCCGACTTCAGTGTCCGAATGTTGCTTAAACGTTTAAAAGAGAACGTACTGCGCCGCTGGAATGGAACGATCAACATCTTCCAACCTTCCGACCGATGGCAATTGATCTGGAATATCCATTGCATTTGCCAGGAGTACAATGACTGTAGTACTGTAGGATCTGATCTAAAAAGAAACACCGCCATCTTGAAGCTGCTCTTCAGCTACCTGAGACAGGTTGCATGTCCACATGTTTTAGGCTCCAAGAAACACAACATGGCACAACACAATGAACCTCATGAGATGGATCTTTGAATCCCGAAGAAACATCTGAGATTGACAAATGAGCGGACTAGGTTTGGGCGAATATATTTGTCTTATACTGCTTGGTCTATTTGGCATTGAAAGGAATTCAAAAGGAAGTGGGTGCCAGGCGAAATCGCCCGACAGCCATATTCCTGGATTGCTCACAGAGTACGGTTTATGTCGAATGCAGTGAAGAAGCCTCCAATGGTTGCTTCTGGATACGCGCTGCCCCATGGCTCGTCGATAATTCGAAATAAAACGGGAAACTGACAGGCTGTACCGTGGCTTTAACCTACAAATTGGAACGGTGTTCATCGGTTCCGGTGGTTTGCTTCGGTTCTTGCTTAACCGTGAGGGTTGAGGCATAACATGCTGGTCGGCAAAGCCAATTGAGAATCATCTCTGGTACAGCTTGTGAGCGGAGACATGCTAAGACTTGCAGCAAACGGATCTTTAGCAAAGCGATCATCTTTATCCACTGTAAGTGAATGAATATACTATTATTGGCCTATTACAAGATTGTATATGCAGCGATCTATGTATAATTTGTTCCAAGCTCCGCTTTGGCCTCCCTTCAGTTACTTGAGCCAGCTTTGTCTTTTGGAAGGCACTCCTGTTCGCAGGAACAGTTCTGCTCTCCTGTGCGTCTGAAAGCTCCCCAACCGAAGTAACCGAAGTGATTGCGAATCGCTTCAAGTTTTGAGAAAACACGTTGAAAACATTTGACAACTTGGTGACGCAAATGTATCAGGAGATTACAATAATACTATAAATTATGAGGGAAGCTGCTTTGCTTCGCCTGTTGGTTGCAACCGGAGGTTATAGTAGGCTATACTAGAAAACCACACAAGGAGTGAGTGCTAGACTACATACATAAGCTTCTTGAGAGCATTCGCAAAGAGTGCACGTGACTGATCAATAGAGCAACTTGGTTTATCGGCAAAACTTACAACCGTATCGCCATCTATCGCCCTATCATGCTGTATTTATCCTATCCATCAAAAGTAGCTTTGAAAACAATAACTATATAGAATATAGACTCCCAAGTAGATAGAAATGTAGATTACCGCACCACAACAAAAGGTATTGGAAACCCTGCCACTAACTATTTGGGAACCACATACACCTGCTATCAATGTCCACCAGAACTCCTCTGAGCCGTTGGTATATGCCACCCCCCTCCGCCGCCGTCAGAACACGAAGCGAATTGATCCGCCGTCAGAACATCCTCTTTTTGGTGGCTTGGCATTGGCCCAGATCCACATCCGCTTTGAGGGTGAGGAAGGAATTTGTGGAAGATCGGTGTTGATGCTGACACCCACCTGGTCACTCTAGCTTTGTGGGAACACGCTCTGCCAGGACACAAATGGAACTATCCGGTGCAATAGCCGGGCCATACCAACACCCCCCATGGGCACTGCAACGCACGAACTGAACTGATCCACGTTTGACCGGCTCAGTCAGCTGCGATGCCACCATCACCTTCGCCCCTAAAAGCTCACTTATTTGGACCATCAGCATGGCATGTTCAAGAGTAGATGTCTGCACACTGACTTCGGGTGCGCAAGGCATCATGTCAAGAAGCGACTTGTAAATGTGGCCCAAGTTTTCTTATCTTTTGCGATGTTGCTCAGCAACCACGTGTTTGACGGAGAAATCCTGGGGTGCTTTTGGCCCTCAAGTTCTTCAGCATAAACCAATTTGCCAGGCAAGCGCCGCGAGTCCCAAGATATGTGGCTCTTTGCCCAGCCCCACTTATTGTGCTCCAGCCAAGGCCTGGTATGCTCTCCCAAATGCCTTCCGCGCTTTAGATCCACAGAGCTGTTCGCAGTCACAAATTCCGACTCGTCAGCTACCTCCTTTGGGTAGGTTGGGTTGAAGGTGTTGAAGGTCCTCTCGAAAAACTCCGCATTGACTTTGATGAAAATGTATGGGGTAACTGCATACCTGGCCTCGCTTGCTAGGTTCTTATCACCATAGTGGATGAAGGCTCCATCGAACCGATCAGCAAGGTCTGACTCGGAAATTCCGAAGGGTTGAACCTCCTGCGATGTTGTGGGGTTCAAAACAATATGCAGCCATCTCCCAACAAAACACAAAACACGCAACAGAAACCACACATCTGCTTCTGCGCATCACAGGCCACAGGCCCTCAAAACATCAAGTGGTTCTTCCCCCGGCTCCTCCAAAAATTCGCGCCGAGCTGCATCTAGCAAATCTTTGTCCTTTTGGTGAATAATGTCCCCGCCCACAAACCGGATCTCATTGCCTTTCCAAATCATGAGGAAATAGAGATCTCCTTGGTTGGAATAGTGCACGGCACAGGTCACTGCACATCGGACGAAGAGGCCGTTCACTGTCCATACATCCGGCTGATTTCGCAGTGCCCTCTCTGTGCGCACAAAAGCGGCATACGCATCCAAAATTGCCTTATGAGATGCCGCAGTAAGTCCATGAACATCTACTGCTCTCGGCAAATGTACGTTGAAGACTGAGATGGGCCCGTCAACAAATTGAAGTCTTGCAAGAGATTGCAACACCTCTGAGCTGACAGGACTGGTTTCTTCTTTCAAGAAGAAGGCTTTGAGTTTGAACGTTGTTTCGATCATTGCTCTTCGCAAATCCTTGTTGGACCAATGCTTGGCGGCCTCGCTAGCCAGGTCACACAGGGCCCCATCCACGTCAAGCACCTCAGCCTTTGGGTCGGCTGCGAGTCGGTCAGCGGCAACTTGTGCCAGTCCCAAAAGGTAGCGCAGTTGCTTCAATGACTCGGTCTTTTGGAAGACATCTTCTATAAAATACGGGTTACTTTCCAGGAAGATGCAGGTGCATGATATCAAAGATGAATCTTCAGCCAAGTTTCCCGGCTTCGGGTAGCCACCTTCCTCACCCACCTGCTTGTTACCCGGTGCACCATCGCTGGGCGGTGCCGTACCAAAGCCTTCCCGTAACCGCGGAGAACTCGGTGGGTCGGCGGGACCAGGATCAGCCATGGCACGTGCCATGGGCGTGATGGGCGTGATGCTGTGAAGCGCAGCTGCTTCTCCTGCTGAACTCCAGCTGATCCGGCCAAAAAAAGGGTTGATCTTCAGTTAAAAGAACTAACGATGGATCCAGTCGAGTCAGCGGATGTCGGTGGAAGCAGCTGGGTTGATTGGGTTCCTGGGTAGCTAGAGTCCAATCCATGTGCTCCTTGCTGTTGGAGATTTACTCTTATTAATAAGCTTAATTTATCCCCAGAAACTGCAGAATGTGCTTTCCAACCACCCACTCTAACAGGACATGCTCTAATGGCCAAAAAGCGTCAGAGTCAGTAGCCTGCGAGGTTTGGGTTTCGAGTCCCGTCTGATCTATCCCAAGTGGGCCATCCCAAGTGGGAAGCGATTGACCATGCTTCAAATGACACCTAACTATTGGATCTCCTTTTGATCGCCCGTCGTGTCACTTGACGAGATTGACCTTCTTTACACCGCCCGCAACAGTTTTACATAATTGACGAAAGGTTCCCTGTGGGAACACTCCTGGCCTTGCTGAAGGGAATTGCTCAACGGTATCTTATACTTAATACTGGGCAGTGGAGACCCAAAAGTCATCAAAGGTCAAAGTAACATGGGTCAAATGTCCAAAAATATCCAAATCATATTATACTGACTGTAATGTTTAAAATAAAATCAAGGAAAAATATGACGAAACATGACCAGCCAGCATCTGAGATTTTTGAGTTGTCACCACTCTTGGATCTAACCCATGGGTGTTGCAGGTCTTGGATTGCCTGGGTGTGCCCTGAAGAAAGCCCCAAACCCGGCATCTTCCATATCTGCTTTTCGCCACCCAAAAGACTTCATAGATGGCCAACCCCCCTTCCCACTGCTTTCGACGGATGTTTCGACCTGCACTTTGGCGATGTGGTTCGTTTCTACTCACGCCGTTCGGCTTTCTTCAGTTGACAGGGACCTTCAGCATGTTCCCCAACATGGACAGGGACCTTCAGGATGTTCCCCAAGAGTACAGGGTTTAGACTCACCATCCCCGTCGCACATTCCCTTCAGCCTGCATCGCTTCGGAGAACTTGGTCATGGTCTGACAGTTCCAAGTCCCGGTCACGGTCGGTGCCGGTCAGGTCGGAGCCCGTCTGGTCCGACTCTACGTCCAAGCTGCAGGTCGGACTCTTCCTCCATCCAAAGCCACACAAAACAAACATCCCCAGGAGGTGCTTGCGTGCTTCGCAGCCCCTTTCTCTCCAGATACAGTTGCAGGTATGGTTGAATAGTACAATCATCTCAGTTCAACTAAGAACACGAGTTGTTCAACTTTACCTCAACAAACGCAGTTGAATAGTTCAACGTCTTTGTTGGTGGTTGATAAGCGCAAAAAGTCTTCAAAAAAGAGTTCTCCATCTTACGTCTCATCGTGCTCAACTTCCAGATGATGACAGGCAACAGTGAGCTTCAAGCTGCTCCAACCATTGCTCCAACTGGTAAATGCGTATGTTTAAGCCACAAAACCCTGGATCTGCGGCCTCGATCATGGGGCCGAAGTGCTTCATGTTCCGCTGCCAGACCTGTAGACCGAGGAAAAGCATCACATGTCCGGGACCTCCAGGTCAAGTTCAATGGTGCAACTTCTGGGGGATAAAAGGGCGGAACGGCAGAACCTGGTGGTACTCGCAATATTGGAATCACAGGAAATGTGAAAAAAATGTCAGAATCTCATCTGGAGGATTGCTAGATTCCCCGGATATGTGTTGAACACATGTACATTGACTGCAAATGTGTGCTTGATGATTTGTGGTTGGAACAATTCGCTGTTCCCTGTTCTTGCACAAGTTCATGCCCGAAGCCCAAGCTTGCAGTTGCCTGAGAGCTTGTACTGATGTAAAGTCCCAGAGAACAACATCACACAGCTCATACAACTCGACATTGCCGCTAAATACAGCCATTGAAATGGATAACGGTTCATAAAGACTCACTCCGCGAAATGGATAATCTCCCATTTGACAAAGAAGTTAAAAATGGTTGATCAGATCACGCGGCTTTCTGTTCACTCATCAAACTCTTGGTTCATCCTCAGCTGTCCCAAATAGTAACTGTTACGTTTACGTAGATCATTTGGGCATAGTTCGCGAGAAGGTTCCCTTTTCTATAATATCCATTCAGAGGTGACTATCGCATGATGACATGACCATCCTTTTGTATCCTTGTGGAACTTCACCCATGACCGGCGCACATTAAAAAAGAAGACACCGGGCATGCCTCACGAAGCACCGCCTGGTGCGTGACTTGGTCGTGACTCAGCTGCAGTGGACCAATCTGCAAATGGTTTTTAACATACTTCAGCATATTTCAACAATATATATGGCTATGGCCCGTGCCATCTATATATATATAACATGTTTATATATAAGAAGTTTAAAACTTGTGGTCTCCGGGTCTTGTTTGTTTGAGTCACATCCATATATGGTATACCCACGGGACGACCCCCTAGAAGAGGCCAAAGCAACAGCATTTGGTTGGAGGGGTCGGTCTCCCTATTCCAAGACACCCTCATATGCTCCACGGAGCTATTCTTGATATATGGCAACAAAACAAGCTGGCGGAGGAACCCAGGGATGCTTGAACAAATCTAGAACATGCTGTAGCAGCATAGATGGTGCTTCATATATAGTTTGTTCTATGTGTCTTCTACTCTGAAAGCATTGTAATTCACTGACATCCTGCTTCACCTGGAGCCATGTCGTGAGATCGGAGCCCTGGCGCCACGTCCGTCCACGTCGCTCCCAATTGCTCCCATGTGTAAACAACTACCACTTACTGCAATATACTGAAACCAATGGAACTTTCCCATGATCAACTGTCAAAGGTTTTAACATGTCATAACTAAACCTGTTTGGCTGTACTAGTATTTGTTTTCGTTTCATGTGGAATTGCAATTCCATTCCCAAACGCACGCAACGTCTTGCAGCATGTGCATCCCATCAAAAGCGCCTGTCCAATGAGGATGGCCACCAACCCCAGGTATAAGAAGGGCACCAACCTCGATCCATCGTTCGTCCCGTCCGTCTTCGATGGAACGAAAAGAGTGCGAGCACCCTCGGGCGGAAAAAAGAACAGTGGTGGGTGGGTCTGGTAGCTTTTCATCTCAGACCTCGAAACTCTGCATCAGTTCTTCGATGAAGGCGATGGAGGTAGCCACAAACGAAAGAGGAAGGGCTTGTCAAGATAGGTGCGTAGGCGATAGGTGAGTGGGATGGTGAAGTAGATCAAATGAAGTCCCAGCAGCGAGACAACCCAAAGTATTCTTCAGAGGTGGATCCGAGAAAAAGGACATGTGCCCACCACAAATTGAGGTAACGACAATTGAAGGGAGGTCCAGAATCTTTGTGAAAAATGGCCCGCGATGGGAAAATGGGATCCAAAACATATGGGCCCCTGAGTTACTAGATCTCATGTTACCGGGACCGAGGAAGTTAAGAACCAAAAGTGCAAGCCCCAAGTTGATGGGGTCCCAATGGCATGACAAGACCACGGAGCCGCCCCACAACGTATCACGCTCCACCTTGCCTTGGAGGGTGTTCGATAGACATACCTTATAACAACCTGGGCAGGCTTTTAAGAGAAAACCGAGGTGGGAATTGACTGAACATGACCGAACTCAGCAATAAAGAACACATGGTGACGTGGCCCCTCCTTCGTCTGCAGGTATTGGGGGCGGTCCCGGTCGGTCTCGTGAGTCCAGGACTCCACTGCCAGTGCTGCGTGGTCCGATTGACGTGGTCCTTGACTTGGACCAGCCATGGGCCATGCCTACTGCCTGCGCTTGTTGTTTGACAGGTTATGAGACTCTGTCAAACTTTGTCTTTGTCATGGGCGTCCATCTCATGACCGTACACCTGTCGAAACTGTTCATGCTTACGAATGTCGTGCAACCATGTACCAGGGGTCTGCAACCGACTTTGTCTACACTGCACAATTGATCGACGCTGCCAGACCTCCACCTGCAAGCTGATGCTAATTTGACAAAGAACAAAAGGAGGTCCAGTTTGAGTTTCTGGACCAGGCCTGACTCCACCAGTTTCGCGAACCTGGCGTGGAAACTCCTCAGCTTCGCCCTCCACAGGTTCTCCGGTGATGTCCCGTGACGTCAAAGCGCTCCTCGCTTCACGCGAGCAACCAGGTGCTCTTCCAAGCGGTCAACACGAGCAGCACCCCACTGATGTCTCTTGGTCCTTTAGCCTCTGCGCAAGTTCCTCAACCTACGCCTTACGCTTTCTGCCCGGGACCAAAGGCAGGGGTGACACGAGAGGAAAACAGCCAGCAGCGCAGCCAGCACAGCTGCGCTTGATTTGGTGGCGAGCAGAGTTTTGTGGAGTGTGCCAGGTACCGGCCAGACTACCGGCCAGCTAAGGTCGACAACACGCAGTCGAGGCTGGCACCGCTACTGGCCACGTCAACTCAGCAGCACGGCAAATGATTCAGGCCTTTGGCGCCCGCGCCCCCCTTCTGCGAGCTGCAACTTTGAAGCTGGAGCTCCCAAGTAATTACTCAAGTTCTCATCTCAAGTGGCCTCATTCGGTCCTGAAAATGTGAGTCACTTCACCCAAATGATCTGAAGCAAAGTCGACATCGAGGAAGTCCGCTCCATCCATCATATATATATATACGGTATATCACGAGGGACGAAATCACACTTCATCGGACTCTCAGCTGGAATGAAGGTGGTCAGCTCTGTTCAATATGAAAGCTGGATGTGGACCCTTAGGCCGACGTTCTGGCAACTGGTACGTCATTTGGCATGTGTAAAATCGTGGGCCCATGCACACTTTCGAGAGCTAAAGTATGCATGGGGCAACAGCTTCTCCAAACCCCTGCCCTGGACCAGGTACCGTTCGACCACTTCATTTGGGCACGTTCGTCCCCTCTAAGCGTGCAGCGGCATACTCCGCGACGAAACGTCGCTCATTTTCGGCGAAGAGCCAGTATGAGACAAACCTTCAAACAAGGACTTTACAATCGAACAAACTAGTATTCCCCCTTTCAAACCTTAAAATCGACATGCAGGACCAAAAATATCAGGCATGGATACCAAGGAACAAAGCGAGCCCAAAAAATATCGACAACTACAATATTTATATAGTCAACTTATAACATTCATTGCATGGTCGTTGTTCCCGGTGTCCTTGCGGTCAACGTAATTACTAAAACAAATTACTCCTTGCCCCCGCCACGGGAGTGACTTCACAATCACGTCGTTGCCTTCACTTCACACCAAGCAGCTTCTCTTCCAAAGGTTTGAAGTAGCCCTGGGACGCGAAGTAGCTACCACCTGGGACTCGCAAATCGTTTCTATCTTTTTTATTACTGCATGGGTCTTGCATGCATGGGGTCCATCTATGTCAAACATCAGAGCAAGTCAACATCTTGCGGAACGGTATATAGATCAAAGTTCAGCAAATACTACTGTAAAACCGAAGTCATGAAACACATGATCTTCCCAAAAATAAATCATTCAACTATTCGGTCCATTTTCTTGGTACAGGAGTTTGACGCACGGCCATGTGGCATAGACAAATACGATTTTGAAAAGTGACAATTTTGACAATGTAAATAGTTCTTGTTCAAGGCAACTAGCTACCGGGTTTCATGACGATGAACTTTCTGAAGTGGGAATTGTCAGGTGGCGATCGAGCCAAATCAAAGTGCGTTCTTACATGTTCTGCCATGTCCAAGAATGTCCAAGACATCTCCAAACTACAACACTGTTGGTCACGAGTCACTAGTGACGATCTAGAACGTTCAAATCAAGGAAATACCCGTCTTGCTAATTAGTCTTGACACTAGCTGGTCTTGAACACGAGGTGAATCGCCACCTCTGGCCGAACAGGATCCGCATGGTTGAAAGAACGGGTCGATGGTCACCAAAGCCGACTTCGCTCAGGACCCCGACTGGCGGTGATGAGGATCAACAAAATGATGAGTCGATGCACCTGAGGAAAACTAAGACGGATGCAACACTTCTTTACATAACCAACCTAACCTACTGTAACAAATCCAACACTCCTCCTCCTGTAGTGAGTGAGTCTGATTGGCAGACCGGCTTCTTCAGCAAGCAACATGTGGAGGATGTGGATTGCATGACTAACGTATTTATATATCCCACTGTAAAAGTGTCCGCAAATGGACTCTTTCCCAGCCATACAACAGCCAATCGCTGCTCAGGTTTGCTCTCGTCCAGGTCCAGGCCGAGCCACATGGTTAAAAAAATCTCTTGCTGCATCTTTCACAAGGAACATCCACATCCACGTCTAAACCTGACTCCAGTCTTCTGAATCACCCATCATGCCTTTCTAAGATGTTCAACGTTCATCTACCGCGCAGGTTCCCCTCCAAACTCTGCCCACGAATCGAAACCGCCCATCCCATCTGAGCTTCTGCGCCGTCTTGCGCCGCAAGCCCAAACAGAACCTGCAAACCGTTTCTTTTAGCTCCGATCGTCGGCTCCGCAGCAGACACGGCGAAAAGGAAAAGGATGGAGAGTCGGGATCAAAACATGTCATGCTTATTGATCACAATAAATTGTATATTATCAGCAGTAGATCGCTCACTTGGTATGCATCCCTTACGGACCACTTTTTGTGAAGGATATATAAGTTCTTTTTGGATATTAGGTTATTGAAACGCCATCCAACGGACTTCATCATCCGTTTCACACTTTCACCAAACTCCAAAACTGAGAACATTGGCATCCAAAGCAAAGGCTCATAAGTGTTTGGAGTTTTTGGCAAGCAGAGCAAGAGGATCAGACTAGGGGACAAACCAAGACCGAGGGTCCCAGGGTTGGTAAAAAAGAATCCATGACAAACTACACTGCGGAAGGTTTTAGCTGCAAGCGGGAAAAGATCATTTTGCAAGCCAAACTGTAACTGTTGTTTGAAGTTTGAAGAGCCATCTTCCACTTCCACTGATACGTCTCATGTGGATGGTACATCTCATGTTCGGAGACTATCGATAGATATGACAGGGGCAGTGAAATACCAGCCAAACCTAGCTCCTGCATTGGCAACTCCGTGTTTTTTCGACCCCATAGTAGATAGAAAAGCGGATCCCCACTTAAAAATGTATTGGACACCGTGCCACTATCTATTTCGGGGAACACTATATACACCGCAGGTCATATAGCCCAGACCAAGCTTCGCCTCAGCTTGATGACCTCCTCGTTGTAGTCTTCGAACTTCGGCACCGGCTCAGGTGCTGCGAGGCGGTTCGCGGTGTGCAAAAGCGAAAGCGCCCGGTTCGGTGTGACTCACCCGAAGGGCTTCGAGGCAGGCAGATGGCTGGTTGGCCCGTTCCCATGCAGCAAGTTACACTCGTACGTTAGGTAAATAGGAGTAGGTCAAGAGCCCCATCTGGCTCAAAAGTCTGAGGGGGTTGTGGATTGCGCGATTGCGAGAGGTGAGGATTGCGCGATGGACACATTTTGACCTCCTAACTGTCGGGACCAAATGTTCACTGTTCACCGTTTTCCACGGCCGGGTTTTCTGCACGCCTGGCTTTTCACACCTGTTTTGGTTTTGGAGGGGCGGGGGGGGGTTGAGCTTCCAGCTCCTTCGTGGACACAGCACTGGTTTAAACTGGTGCGTTACTGTAGCACCGGTCTCTGGTTGAACTGGTTCTTGGACGCATTGGGCTTGCTCAGACTTGCTTCTAAGTGGGTGATACTCTCTCTCTTCAACCAACACGGGAAGTGAAACAAAACCAGTGAGTAAAGGACAAGTGTCTTCCCGTGTGATGAAAGCTAAGAAGAGTACAGTGCCGCTAATAGCAGAGTCTAGATCCAATCAAAAAGCTTAAAACCTCTTAAACCCAAATCCTTCATATCAATGTGCTTCTTCAACTACTAAACTGCTTTTTGACCCAGGCCCCCCACCTCACCGTCTTGGGGAACTCCACGGGCCGCCCTCCCGATTTCACGGAGGATCCTCACCTTCCCAACTCGGCCGGCGCCGGTTGGCCACGCGCACCGAGTTGCGGTGGCTGAAGAACGCCTCCGGAAGTGGTTGACCAACTGGATGATCCCGGATATATAGCAGCTTACAACCGTATAAAGATGGGTTGCCTCACATTGAGGACATCTGACATTTTACTGTTGCGGACATCTGATCCAGTTGGTGGTGGGATGTGAAGTCAACCACTGCGTCTGTGAGTTGCAAGTTGATCAAGTTGATCAAAATTGCTTGACACCAAAACACTAGTCCCCCAAAAAGCACAGGGCTTAGCGTCAGCTCCTCACGGATTTGGCGAATTTAACCATGTCCACACAACCCAATCATCTTTCAGCGTTGATCTTCTGTTCGATGTGACAAACATGTGCAAATGAAATGTGACACCCTTTGGGCATCTGAACAGGATATGTGCAGTTCATATCGGAAGAATTGTCCACAAGTTGAATTCCAGCTGTGCAGCTACGAGGCAAATAAAGAAGAGAACATCTGTGAGCAGGATGGATCTCTGAATTTGGCTCAGCATGTTCAATCTTCAGCACAACAACATTTGTTGTGCTTGCCCAATTCTCCAGCGACTGATGCGGCTGAGGGGCTACCAGGTGAATGAAGTATATCACCAAATAGCCAAGCAGGAGAATGGCAGTGACCTCGAACGGACATCTCCAAAGGACCAGGCGAACCTCACCCGAGGGGTGCACATCAAGGAACCTCTTTGCGGGGTGTCTTGCCATCCTTAGTGGAATGAAGGAGACATGTCTTGAACCAGGCAGCAGAGAGGCAACATAAGCAAAGAAATGAGTAAACTTGCTGCAGGGAGCAACCGCACAAACGTTCGTCACGTACAAACATGACACATCATGCACAAGCGCCGTAAGACCAGCAACCAAGCCTCAAAACCCCCAGTATCCGCAAAACCCCACCCGCAGGCCCCCAACACCTTCCTGTAAGCTGAGTTGATGGATAATGGATCATCTATCATCTATACATAAACACCTTGAACCGCAGGTAGGTGTATCGTTTGTCATTCGCTGTCTCTGTGATCAGGAGTTGATCAGTGTCACTAGGAATCGCTGTCTCTGTGGAGCAAAAGATGCCTATGACATCCTATGACCTACTGTATTATACATATAGAATGTAGTCCCTGAAATGCAAATGCATATCCCGCTTGCTCGCGCCAAAGGTCTGCTTGTGCCAGGGTTCTAAGCTATACCGACGGTTCTCTAGCTGTTGCTTCACTCAAAAGCTTGTTGAAAACTCCAAGCCTGCTCACCGACCGAAAAGCTTAAAACATCGCCGCTTGCCAGAAAAAAAACTGCCCTCAATATCATTCAATGCAACTCTGCTTCGGATGGTATCCGGACGTTCTTCCTCCAGCGCGAAAAATAACTCCCACGCAAACTGCCAGGAGAACCCCCAACAGTTGGTCCTGAGATCCCAGCTAGAAGCGTCAGCCACAGTGGCTTCCTGGCTTCCCCACGACGGAGATCGCGTGCGGCCCATGCAGCGGCGATCCGGTCGCCCGTGATGACGTTGGACGTCGGGTCCGTCGTTGGAGGGTCCGTCGGTCTCCGGTCACGCGTCGGAAACGTCCGGTCACCTGGAAGGAGGTAGGTCAACAAACGCAAAGCGTACAGGAAAACCATGCGCTCGAAGACCAAAGCCTTGTCCAAATGAGGTGAATTGGACGATCCTTTACCATGCAGTGAATTGTTCGATCATGTTTCTTGTCATAATCAAATGCGGAGTGTTCGTCGTCTTTTGCCGTGTGCTTAGGTCCGAATATAGTTCACCCCCTTCATACCCGATACCACACACATGAGTGAAGTATCCGGGTTTTGACCAACCGCCATGTGAAGAATCTGCAAACCAGTTCGGAAAACGTGCCAAGTATAGGCCCTGTAAACCACTATACCACTGAAATCCCCCTGGCATAGCCCTACTATCCTTATGGGAAGGTATAGAATCCCCACTGAAATCAATCCAAGCCCTATACCTTCCTACCTCTGGCCCCCCCTGCAGATCGGTGTGAAACACCCGGTGATCAAACATCCGCGGTCATGCTACCCATGGCTTCTGGATCAGCCACGTGATTCCGGTACTCAAAAAAGGGTTGGAACTTGGGCTAAACCCAGGGGAGACATCTGTCACCGGATGTAAAAGTGGAGGAGAAAAGTCCCAGCAAAGGGTGTCCAAATCTTCTCCTTACAAGGTCTATAGGGGGTTCCACACATTTGATACATGTCTTCCTAGTTTACGGCATAAAAAAGCTGCAAGGCTTCATGCTTCCAGCCGTCGGGACCTCCAAAGGCTGCAAATTGAAACCCATCACCTCGTGCTTGCTTTGGATCCAGTATTTGTTCCATATGTTGTGGCAAAGTGGATGATGTTGTATCTTGGTCATGGTACCTGGGCAGTACAATTCCATCCAACCCATCCAACCCAGCCTAAAGTCCATGTGAAGTTCATGCCTGAAGCGTTCAGAGATGGCTCCAGGATGTGGACTCCAGTCAAGTCGAAGACTCTGACCAAACGGGGCGAAAAGCGGAGCCCAAAAACAGACCTGACACGGAGTCAAAACTCATGAGGAAACGACCACGCTCCCCTTCAGGATTGACACCTTGTGCACCTATTTCCATCATGTTCAATCTATTTCCCGTGAGAACCCAGTATGAGACCCTTTTTTCAGTATCAGTGGGAAGATCTCCATCCAAACGTGGAAGCGGAGCCCTCTAAAACCATGGCATGGGACATGATCCAATACACTATCTCTGAAAACCGGGTGGGTGACCGACAAATGACAATAGGAAGCACTACAAGCAGTGAGATGTAGACCAAATCAAGAAAACAACCCCTATGGCCCTATGGTCTATGACCCACGAGGATAGAGTGACACTACCCCTATGGTCTAAGAACACAAGGCGTTCAAGAACACGTGGCCATTCACAAACAGGCAAAAACGGTGTCCTTGAGTCAAGAGTCTTTTTTAGACACCATTAGTTCAAACAATGAACAATAACAAAGCTGAAAAGGCACGCCTTTGAGCGAGAATTCCATGAAAATGCATATACGGAGGACCGAAATGAATCTAGTGATCCGATGTGGATGGATTAATGTTGGCAGTTGAGATTGAACAGAAAGCATCACATGTTATTTGAAGAACTCAGGAACTCGCAGAGAGTGTGGGAATTCCGGCCGACGAGAAAGTCCCCAAAAGTGCATAATGTCCGTTCGAAAGACCAAGATGTAAAGGACTCATCGCATTCGTTGCAGCATGTGTGGGATGATTGCAGTCTCTGTCATCGTGGTGAGAAAGTGCACTATTTGGCAAAAAGCATGGGCTTGCCGAAGAAGGGATCTATTTGGTCGGGTGCAATCAGGATAGCCTGAGGAGAATTTAAATCATAGAAGATTGGTCCCTGAGTTTTAGTAGCTAGTATCATGCCACATAGGCAAGTGTGTGCCTGATAAGATCGTAAAGGCAACTGACAAGTTCTGCCCATAGTAGGCCGTTTTCCTCTATTAGGCCGTTTTCCACTTCCATGATTGGAGGGAGGGTGTATCTACACCACGAGGCGACCACCCGGCAATGTGAAGGGACAACAAAGCAAAATGGATCCAAATGGCATATTAAGTTATATTAATGTGGCACTGGATATTAAACAAAAACAGCACTCCATTTAAAGGCCTAAAATTACGTAGCATAGACTCTGAAAGCGTGAAGCATGATGATAAAATGCAGCTAGGGCTGAGGAGAAATGACCCACCCTGACTGCAAATGTTGGGCGATCTCAGAAGGGCTTCGACTTCGAAAAAAGGATCAAATTGTGTTGGAACAGCTTGTCTTTAACGGTAATTACTCAATGTCTGCGTTGTGGGGCCAAACATACCCATACGCCCTTGATACGGATTTGTCACACCCAAATTATCCATAATGCCTTAAAGTTATTTGTATGCCTTGCAAAAGGGTTGAAAGCAGGTCTCGTTATGTTGAAGTCTAGGATGTGTAATAATATGCGGTCTTTGTTGGAAGACCCTTTTTTCAACGAACACAGGGTCCAACATGATCAAACGAGGCGTCAAAGAAATTGATGTGGATCCAATCCCGTCATCTCCCCGGGCCACACGGAAAGCGCCCTGTGCGCCTGGACCAGTGTGCCTCAACGAGCTGCTCGGTGAGCTCCGTCAACCTTGGAATGCAAAGCCGAAGAAACAAAGACTTCGTATATAGAATCTGACTAGTGTTTAAGTTTAGTAGAGGAGTGATATGGACGCCAAAAAGAAACTCTATTGGGAGTTCCTTCCGCCGGTCTTACAATGGGCACTATAGTCAATAAGAACGCTTGAAAAACTGGCGGTGGTTCCAGGTCAGTAAAAGCTTGTTATTTTTTGTAATGCATCCTATGTGTTTTTGAGGATCGATGGCCCGAAGTAGCTACATTGGTTCTATGGTTGTAGATTGACAACAGGGATCGGTGTTGTGGTAGTTTCGTTGTTTTTGATGGCTAACCATCTTTACTCAAAGACGCTGTGTAAGCTGAGTGTGAATGGTTAGGGTTGATGGACATTGGGAAAAGTAGGGGTGTCATAAGCGCAAATTTAGATGCATGCACGTGCATGCCCAGGCATGTAAAAGGGATCTGCTTAATAGAACCCCATGGAATCATGAGAAGCAAGATCAACGTATAAAAACACAACTTCACAAATTAGACATGACGGAAAGGAAGCAAGTAATATTGTGCAGTAATTGTATATAGAGAGGGTAAAAGGTGACCGGATGCGGCAAGAAAAGGCCATAGGGGTTTCAGTGCCACGAACTGCGTCAAGACCTCTCTATAGTTTCATCAAGCTCCGCTCATCGAACTGCTTAAATCTTCTATGTTTTAAAGCCCGTCATTTTCACACATTGCCAGGTTATACTTGCGTGAGAGAGAAAGAATTTGTACAGTGCAGAAACAAGTGCTCACTGGCCTCGAAGAACTGGAGAGTCAAACCAAGGTTTCCACCACTGAGGTAGTAGACCGCGGGAATGTGGATATCAGGAAGCCAGAGCTGCACAAACACGCCGCTTTAGACCCACATGATGGTCGCATGGGCCGCATCCGTGGTCAGCTCGATGCCATTGACGTGAAAACCATGGAAAAACCATGGAGCGTCACCACTCGCGTCACCCACCTAGACCAATGTCTGCCGGGTCTGTTCCAATCCACGGAAGGCCATCGGATGTGCACAGGTGACGAAGATCTCTCCAAAATGACCACTCTGCATAGTAGCTAGACGTTTGATGCATAAAGCCCAGTGACCAAAATGGTTTTACAACGCTTTATATCAACTTTATCTCTCCCATATCGGGCTTGAATCATCAAAAGTCGACATTTATGTACCTTGACTCCCATAGATTCTCACAAATGGACAAAAATCCCCAAAGCCTATCCAAGCCCTTTGATCTTCCAGTGACTCTTCCAATCCCGTCCACGGAGTCCGAGTCTGACGATGGACCGAGGGGGTCCATCCCTCCCTCGGCCTCGAACGACTTCCCGGTCTGGGAGGTGGACTCCGTCTTCAAACGGCTGTTGTTCAAGCGGAGCTCCACATCGGTCCTGGCAACCACGGCGGGAGAAGAGCTGCTTGGTCCAGGAATGTTAGTACTAACCAATACTAATCCGACTAAGCTGCTCATCCACTTCACCTCCATAACCACTGTTTACTACTTGTTAGCACCCTGCCTGCGAAGACGGAAAGCTTCGCTGACGTTCGCCGCCTCGTGCGGCCAAGAGTGGAGATTCACGATGCCCTGTACGGGTGGGTCAATAGCTGGACCCTGAAAATCATGATAGGCGAGCAATTCCTGGTATGTGTTGTTCAATTATAGGGGTCAATGACGGTCACACCCCGCTACCCCCGTTTCAGGGAAGGGTCGTTGGGTGGCGCCGGACGTGTTGCGGAAGTCTGCGTGTGTAGAGGTCAACTAGGGTCCCAGGGCTTTGACGTCTACCCACCTACCATAGCTGTCTTCACGCATCAAACATCTGGAAGTGGGCCTTATCAAAGTCTGCAGTCACTTGGTTCCGACGTAGAGCCTCATCTTCTTCATCTAGTGTAAGCTCAATATGTGCAATCAAATAATCAACCAACTATCAGGGCGAGCAACTGGTCGGTTTCCTGTAGGCAGCTACTTCGATAGAGGCTGTGGGTCCTGGGGTTACTAAATGGTTGAGGCCTTCGGTGAAGCCAAGCAAAAAGTTGTGCTGCTAGGGTAGCTCGTTGACCCGAGGCTTCCGAACAACCTTAGTAATAGCACTTAATATCTTAGGAAGTAGATCCTTGATGTTTGATGTGAATAAACACCGAACAACTGACTAAGTTCCATTTGATTGCTTCTACGGATCTATAGATACGCTCTCCGTCGAAACAGTTTGCCGGATCATGCAACACCTCCCCAAGTGGATTGTGGTGCAAGGCCCCAAATTCAGATCTTTTGGCCTGCCGACCAATCCTTGTGGCATCGGACTCACACCACATATCGTGTCAATGAGTTGTACATAAACCACAATGCACTGACATCCTTCTCAATGGTAAGCATCAATTGAACCTAACGAATCTCACCATCTGAATCTTCAAACACCGACAGTGCAGTTCGCCCCGTCCTCCTCCGCCCCTTCCACCACGCGTTCTTTCCGGACCTCGCGCCTCTCGGTGTGCCGCCGTCTGCAGCAAGCAGGCGGAAACCGAGGTCTCCAGGTCCAGCCGGTGCAGCTGAGCGGTCCAGCCATTGCGGCCTCCGCGGCCTCCGGTTCGGTGGCAGAAATTGGAATGGCTGAGCCGAGCGGCTAGGGCCCCCCCTCCATCCAGTCAATGCAATGGTCGAATCATGCCAAATCTCCGTTGGCACCGAGAAGAGATGCCACCTACATCCACCTACTCTCCATACAACAACAATGGTGTTGAAGAGGAAAAAAACATTCAAAAAAACACATCAAAACCTGTTTGTGAAAGCCAAGGAGGCCATTGTCCACTGCATGTGTCCGATTCCGTGCTTGTTGGAGGAAGGGTATACTGGAAGAATTGCTTGAGGCGACATTGATGAGGATGATGAGTAAAATATAATTGGGCTGAGTATACTGGAATCTCTTTAACAAAAAGATTGGTACCAACTATGAATCCAAGATTCCTCAGTAGCTAACACACCTTGGTCCTAGTGACGCAGAATGGCTCCAGGTTCTGGCCGCTTTCAAACAAACCAAATCGTTCTGTGTTGTGAGGCTCCGTTTAATCAAACAACCAACAGGTGATACTGATGATTTGCGGATTCCGGCCATGTTTACTATGTTCATCCTGAATCCCTCTGGCAGAATGGGAACAATCAAACAAGCAACAACAATCCCTGATCTCCAGTTTGTGGTTGGTGGCTTGGTCTGGGAGTTGGTTCGTCCTCATAGAGCGATAGCTCACAAGTGTACAGAAATATCCCCTCCCTTCTCACCCCAAAACATGGACTGACAGATTGAACGATGTATGAAACCCTTGCTGTTGAGCGTCTATATATTGTATACTCTAAAGCCGCGCTCATGCTAATATATAAGTGGGTTAGCACAAGTCTCAAGCATGTCTTAGATGATCATCAGAACATACTTAAAACTTAGGATCTGTTTGACCATTCGATTGGATCATTCGAATCTACTTCATCAGTTTTACATCATTTGTGACCATTGTGTGTGTGTGTGCGCCTCCCCTCGGAGCGAGCCACACCAGCCACGCGTTCCGAACGTCTCCTGCCTTCGTCGACGCTCAGTGATCCCGTCGCCAGGCCTGGTCACGCTGGTCGAAGAATCTCGGGTCTTCTCAGAGCAAATGGGGACGGTCCGTCCATGTCCAGCGATGTGTTTGGTCTTGGAGTCTTAGATAGAAGGTTTGATGACCTACAAATTGCTAAGTCTAGAGTAACTCTAGTAGGTCCAAATTGGTTTCTGAAGACATGAAAACAATCAATCAACGAGCTTGCGTCATGGAAAGCTCTTACCAGTGTCGCAGCAAACACGATGGACGCTGTGTGACTCGCCATGTCTCGACCTGTCGAAGCTCAGCACCGCGCAGGTCCGGTCACAGTCCCGGCTGCCTAGCAATGCCAGCAGGATCTTAGACATCTTCCTGGCGGTGTCCAAGCTCACTTGGATGTAGGCCACTTGCGACTGGTTTGCCAGATTTACATCGACCGTCATGCTTGCTTCTTCTTAGAGAACTTGTTTCTATCACTTGGTACATTCTACGGAGTTCTGGTGTAGATATGCTAAGCTTCCTAATGATGTCCATCCTCAACAAAACCACTCTACCCTGGCTGGCCAACCGGCCTGAAGAACTCAACTAGTCAACTCCACACCAAACGACAAAATAGAACATCCAGCCCAGCGTTGGTTGACCTTGCGATCTGCTTGGCTAAAGCACCCAGCCCCTCGCTGCGGCTCATCTTCACTAACTTCCAGAGGCGGTTGGAAGGCTTGGACGGTGGACGCGCCGACCACTAAGACGAGAAAGCCCTGATGCAAGGATTCAACGACCTTTCATGTGGCAAATCTGGTCATCATAGGACATCCTGTTCGTCCGACAGAAGATTTTTCCAGGCAAGCCAGCCAGTGAAGGAGTCTCTCAAATTGTTTTGGGGGGTCATGATACTCGAGCTGATATACTGCGAAGTTTGACCTGTTCGGTCTTCATACTTCTTGGGAAAGGGTCAGCATTGGAGCAGCACAAGTGATTATGTCTTCTAACCTCGAGGTTGTAACACACAGTGACATAGTGGAAACATATAGAACCTTTATATGAATATATAATATATATATATATACAAACAAGGTCACTGTCAAAACGTACTGTCTAATGAGGTGTATGGATATCCTCAATTTATGTTCTTTGTCAAGCAGCTGCTGCTCCAGTAGCTTCTAGAAAACTCCCGTGAAAGCCGGAAACATACGACTACTGTGGAAGGTGCAAAAAGGGTTTGCGGTCGATGTCGTTCTTGGTCTGCGGGAGATACCCGAAAACATACAGTTGGTCCCGGGAGAGTATACCGTCCACATATACCGAGATAGATCGTATGCCCGCATTGTTGGATTGATTGCTGCCATTGGTTGATGAAGAACCCATCGTGTGAATCATCATGATGGACTCCGAGGTGTGAATCACCAACAAGCCTCACGTTGTTTGTCGAGCATTGGTTGCTCAACGCAATTCAGTTTCTCGTTCATTTGTTAATTTGCCAATTCTTTCTCACTCCAGCAGCTTGACAAATCTTGTGTTACAAGTATAGCACAACTTTGGATGGGACGACTCTTGACTTTGGTTGATAGTGAGTCGCTGGTGTGGGATGGATGTACATCCTTCCCATCTGCCGGGTTCCAGGGTGGCTCAGACGTGTTGAGAAATCCATGCCACAATCCAGTTCGAGACCTTGCTTCAAGCTAACATGTTGTCAAATAACTTTAAATCGGTCTGGCTCGAGGGCAGGAATGACTCCTTGCAGTGCTCCCAATATTCCACAGGGTCCGGATCAAGGACAAACCCCATCTACACCATGGCCCAAAAGGGTCAAACATGGTCTCAGAATTCCGTGGCATTGAAGGACTGACAGGTCAACTAGATGTCAACAATATCTTGGCCAGCTGGGTGGATGTTCGGGCTCTGAATCAAGTCTCTGGTAAACTGTGGAAAGGAAGGGTCCGCATGGTAGAGTCAAACGAAACCCATTGGGTGTGTCAGGGTGTATCTTTTAGAAGACTCGCAGGAGTCTTTCACAGAGGCCCAAGGAGGTCCTTTAGCATCAAGTATCACCTCAACAAGCACAGTACTTGTTGATATCTTATACTATGCGTCTACAAAGAAGTGCCAAAACTATGGATTCTGCAGTCTTCTACTTCGTCTTCCTGGAATTGGTTGACCTATCAGTGTCGAAAACAGCTTTTTGGATGGCTCCAGGGGCTGGACCACCGTACTTGTTCAATCAAGCTGGCTTCTACTGCCCTACTGCATTCTTCCTCGCTCGCCTCTTTGCCGGACTAAGCATAATCCTGGGCATCCGCATGCAGGCAAGGCAGACATTAAACATGGACTCGCGGACTGGGAACAGTGAATGACTGAGAGATCGTTGAGATGCATCTAGTCAAGTCTATATGTGCCACTTGCGACGTGTCAGTCTGTCTGCTACGGTGCTCCTCCTCCCATACTTTTGGGAATGGAACTCCGTTTGAATCTGTGGAGAATTTCCAGTAGTGGTTTGGAGGTCTTTTATAGCGCCAATCTATGTTTTATTGCAAGCGACTTGGCGCAGTCATCCAGCCTGCTTGCTGGTCACCGTGCATCACTCATGCGCTATGTTCAAGAGATTTCACTCTCCAACGACTCGAGAACGGATCGGAGTCTACTACCCAGCACAAACGTTTTCACATGATTCCTGCGTCGGATTGCAGCTATGTGAGCACATGGCACATGCCTGCGAAAATATGAACAAAGCAACTTCTGCATCCGTCTAAGACTGGTTGAGCTGTCAACTTCATCCATTGAAGTATCCCTACCTGTCAAAGCCAGCTCTGTCCAAGGTGTGAAACCAGATTTGATCACGACCATAAGTTTCGCACACGATGAAGCTCCACAACCAAGCGAATGGCCCCTGGGAGGAATGTGGTCCAGTTTGTGGGCTTCATCAACTCCCATCAAATCCTTTCTTTGAGCTCTACACACCGGAAACATGGGAGAAGTTGCTCCAAACCTCTTCTGTGTTTCATTACCGAACTTCATGCTCTGTCACCGTTCTCGGACACTTGGATAAAGCAAAACCCGAAGCCTCTGAGCACGATGGCTGTTGAAAGCTTCATCAGCTCAGTTCAAATCCAGACCGCTCGTGTCAGGTATACCAAATATCCAGCCAGTAATATTCAACCCTAGGAGGCTGCTGCGATCCCCCGGAACGGCATTGAGTCTGGCTGTCTCTGGCAAAAATGAATCAGCACGGCCTTTGCTTGAAGAAGATCTACCCAGTGTTCACCCTGACTCGAGCAACCCTCAAACAACACGGCACAAATGCACCCTCCAAATGCAACGAAGCAAGCAAAGAACAATGTTGCGGATCTGAAATCAAACCCTTATGATGGAAATAGATATTGGATTACGTAACAATGCACAACGGAGAGCGATCTTTCCTGCCAATTCTCGTTCTCTCTCCACTGGCCAATTCCTCACAGCTGTTTGCTGAATATGATCTGCTGAGATTCAGAAAACAAATCAAGGGCTTTGCCTTTGCAAGGGCACCGTTGCATACCGTTGCTAAATATGCTTACAGTAAGTTGAACAACTGGGACGAAAAATCCGGCCACAGAATCAAGCCGATCAGGCTTCAATGGCTATGAATTTCAGCAGGTTACCTTGCTATCTTGGCCACCCGAAACAACCAGCAACCAGGCTCCCCCACATGGAAGAGAAAACACAATCAAGGCCTTTGTGCACCCGGCATGGGCAGTGATGATGGACCCAGCCACTTCATGTGCCTAGCACACATTGGCATGCAAAACTGCTAAGCAACGAATACATGAATGAACAGGTGAAAGATGGTGAAATACTCCGACATGCCCCAGAGGCTTTGGGAGGCCATGTCGCTTTGCTACTAGGATTCGTGTTGCTCAGTTTCCCTGTGCGCTGACCAAAATGAGTGGTGCGTGTCCTTAGTGCCCGAAACAGCCCTCTCAGTTGATCTGCCGTGACGATTCACTGGGTAGTCTTGAAGCAAATGACCATCTCTGGATAGGCTTGGAGCCCGTTGAAGAGCACAAACTCGTTGTGCACCTCAGTTGGTGGAAGCTTCGCCTGAAGGTTTTTTTGAGAGCTTCACCTGAAGGTTTTTTGATTGCCCTATCTTTTTGTGATGGCTTGTTATTGTCTGATAGAACAGTGAAAGACAGGAATCTATGCGGACATGGACAATCCCCACCTTGAGATTGCGGTTGCGAAGGTTGAGAGATGATTGAAACTGAGATACAAAAGATCGCTTACACTTCGCGAGAATGCCCCCAAAAGACGCTGCACTGCTGATGTTCCTACAGTTGGCCTGATCGTGCACTACGGTGCAAACAAACATGTATAACACTTGTCTACTGAGTCTACTAACCACAGGATGCTTATCTCAACAGAATTGAGTTCTCAGCTGATTGAGGCTTGTCAATTCCCCCTGGTTGAGATAATCAAATAGGTCGAAAATTCCACCGCACATGGAAAGCACGTGCGCATGAGGACCTGTTCAGAACATGTTCAGCCAAGCTTCCTGTGTTGCGGTACCTGACGCAGCTTGGCAGAATGGAGTCGTTGTCACCCAGCGGTTCATGAAAAATGTGATCTCAAGCTTACTAAGGAACCTCATCTTTGACTGACAGGGGTTATGGATTGGACATGACATTTGCCAGTTCCATCGCTTGCTCCACGAGTCCCGTTCGGAGTCCTCGAGTCCGCCGATCGGATGGTCCGATCTTTCGGAGTCCTCGACTCCGGCTGAGGAGCGGCCTCCATGTTGCGCGCCATTCTTGATGCCGGGCTTAACCACGACACTATTGCAACGTCCTGGAGGTGTTACTGGTGAGTCTGGAAAATGGAGAGGTGAGGAAACCAGCAAAAAATCGTCGGATACTGTAGGTAAATCCCATCTCAGGTTGAAGGATACACCGAAGTTAAACTCTCATTCCGGCCTCCAATGCTACTAATAAATGGGTTGAGCACAGATGTGAAGAACGCCAGTCGTGCTCTGTAGTGTAGGTCTCCAGGAACCCCCTTTTGGCCCCCAGTGGGGACCACCAAGGTTTGGGCTTTTCGATAGATGAAAATCCTACTTCTTCCAGCTCGGACCTTTTCCCTGCAAGACTGCCCAGCTCCTTTTGTAGGATCGCTCTCATCACGAGCGGGTTCTACCTTCACCTGCCTTGGCCAATCAAACCATCGGTCCGATCTACGAGGAAGCTAGCTTAACCCGCTTTGACCGTGTTTTGACTGGGCGTCCCAGAAAGAATTTAAATTCTGTGCTTTGAAGGAAGAAAACCATATAGGTTGCGCAGTCAAGCTCCCAACACGACATCATGGTAGGCTGGCATCTCCAGAGAGGGGACTGGATTTTGACA